AACAATATGCTACTAAATCACGAATGGGTCAAATGGGAAATCAAAGAAGAAATGTTGAATCACTAAATCCTACAACTGAAGCTAATATTACACTGTATGTTAACTAACTGGAATTGGAATTAAACTTTTGCTTGTGGATGTCCAGTTTTTCCAGCACCATTTGTTTAAGACTATCCTTACTCTCTTGAATTGCCTTTGCTCTTTTATCAAAGATAAGTTGACTATATTTACGTGGGGCTATTTCCAGGCTGTGTCTCTGTTCCACTGACCTATTATTGTCTTTTCTTTTGCTAATACCACACTTGATTATTACAGCTTCATAGTAAATCTTAAATTTTGTTATTCTCCTTCAATATTATGCAAATGGCAATATTATGTTGGTTATTCTAGGTCTCTTACATTTTTGTATAAAGTTTAGAATCAGTTTGTCCATATCTATAAAATAACTTGGTGGGATTTTGGCTGAGATTGCATTGAATCTATAGACTGAGAAGAGTGGGCACCTGGACAGTATTGAATCATTCTATCCAGGTACATTGAATATCTCTCATTTAGGTCTTCTTTTATGGGGCACCTGGGTGGCTCAGTTGGTTAAGCATCTGCCTTCTACTCAGGTCATGACCCCAGGGTCCTGGGATGAGCTTCCTGCTCCTCAGGAGTCTGTTTCTCCCTCTGCCCCTCCTCCCACTCATTCTCTTAATCTCTCTCTCAAATAAATAAATAAAATCTTTAAAAAATAGATCTTCTTTTATTACAGTGTTGTTTCCTTCATATAGATTTTCATAGTTTGTTAGATTTATACCCTACATATTTCACTTTTTTGTTGTTAATATAAGTGGCATTGTGTTTTGAACTTCAAATTCCAGTTGTTTGTTGCTGGTATATAAGAGAGCAATTGACTTATGTATGCTAATGTAGTATCCCCCAACATTATTATAGTTGCTTTCTTGTGCCAGGAATTTCTTCATTGATTCACTGGAATTTTTAGTATAGACAATTATGTTATCTGTGAACAAAGACAGGTTTTTTTTTTTCCATTTCAATTTGTATACCTTTTATTTCTTTTTCTTATTGAAATAGCTATGACTTCCAATATGATGTTGAATAGGAAGGGTGAGGGGACATCTTTGCCTTGTTCCTGATCTTAGCAGGAAAGCATGCAGTTTCTCACCAATAAATATGATAGGTGTGTTTATTGTAGATATCATTTGTCAAATTGAGGAAGTTTGTCTCTATTCCTAGTTTGTCAGAGTTTTTATCATGAATTGGTATTGAATTTTATCAAATGCTTTTTCTGCATTGTTGATATGACCATATGATTTTTCTTCTTTAGCCTGTTGTAATTTGATAATGGCCTTGCATACCTGGAATGAATCCCACTTGGTCATGGTATATAATTCCTTTTATACATTGTTGAATTTGACTTGCTAATATTTTGTTGAGGATTTTTTGCATCTATGTTCATGAGAGATAATCGTTTGTAATTTTCCTTTCTTGTAGTGTCTCTGTCTGGTTTTGGTATTAGGATAATGCTGGACTCAGAATGTGTTAGGAAGTGTTCCCTTTGCTTCTGTTTTCTGGAATAGATTACAGAGAATGGATACGATTTTTTTCTTAAATATTTGGTAGTGTTCACCACTGAGCCAATCGAAGCTTGGTGCTTTCTTTTTTGAAAGGTTAAGTATTGATTCCATTTGTTTAATAGGTCTATTCAGATTTTCTATATCTGCTTGTGTGAGTTTTGTCAGGTTGTGTCTTTTGGGCATTTGAACCATTTCATATAGGCTATCAAATTTGTAGGCATAGAGTTTTTCTTAATATTTGTTAATTATCCTTTTAGTGCCCATGGAATCAGTGGTGATAGCCCCTCTTTTTGGATATTAGTCATTTGTGTCTTCCCTCTCTCTCTTTTTCCTTCTTAGTTTTCCTGGTCAGAAGCTTATTGATTTTATTGATCTTTTCAAAGAACTAGCTTTTAATTTATTTGATTTTTCTCAATTGATTTCCTGTTTCAATTTCATTGATTTCTGTTTTAATTTTTATCATTTCTTTTCTTCTGCTTGCTTTTTTTTTTTTTAAGATTTTATTTATTTATTTGACAGAGAGAGCACAAGTAGGCAGAGAGGCAGGCAGAGGGAGAGGGAGAAGCAGGCTCTCTACTGAGCAGGGAGCCCGATGCAGGGCTCGATCCCAGGACCCCAGGATCATGACCTGAGCCGAAGGAAGCCACTTAACCAACTGAGCCACCCAGGCACCCCACTTCTGCTTACGTTTGATTTAATTTATTTTCCTAGTTTCTTAAGATGGAAGTCTAGATTATTGATTTCAGGTCTTGCTTGTTTTCATATATTTATTCAGTGCTATAAATTTTCCTCTAAGCACTGTTGTCTGTGCATTTCATGAATTTTGATAAGCTGTATTTTCATTTTCCCTTAGGTCAAAGTATTTTTAAATTTTTCTTGAGACTTCTTATTTGATCCATTTGTTACTAAGTGTATTGTTGAATTTCCAAGTTCTGGACTTTTCAGCTATCCTTCTGTTACTGATTTCTAATTTAATTCCATTGGGGTCTGAGAGCATGCTTTGTATGATTTCTATTATTTTACAGTTGTTAAGGTGTGTTTTATGGTCCATAACATGTTCTTTGTTGGTAAATGTTCCATATGAGCTTGAGAAGAGTGTATATTTGCTATTGTTGGATGAAGTGTTCTAGAAATGTCAGGTCCAGGTGATTACAAGTGTTGTTCAGTTTCTTAATGGAGTTAATTATTTTTCTGTCTGCTGAATATGTCAGTTACTGATAGAGAGGTGTTCAGTTCTACAACTATAATAGTGGATTTCTTAGATCTTGTAGTGCTTTCAGGTTTTGCCTTACATATTTTGATACTCTGTTGTTAGGCATATATACTTTAGGGATTGTTATATCTTCATAGAGAATTGACCACTTTATCATCATGTAATCCTCCTCTTTATCCCTGATAATTTTCCTTGCTCTGAATTCAGCTTTTTCTGAAATTAATACACCTGCTCAGTTTTCATATAATTAATGTTAGTTAATATGTTATATCTTTCTCCATTACTTTGCTTTTAACCTATCTGTGTCTTTATATTTAAAATGTTTTTTTATAGACAACATGCAGTTGGATCTTATTTTTTTAATCTATGTTTATAGTCTCTGCCTTTTACCTTGTATATTTAGACCATTGACATTTAATATAGTGATTGATATCTAAAATATTTGTTAATGTTTTCTATTTCTTGCCCTTGTTCTTCTTTTTTTGTATTACATTCTTTTTCTGCCTTCTCTGGTTTTAATTGAGCATCCTATATGATTGCATTTTCTTTCCTCTCAGCATATCAATTATACCTTTTTTACTCTTTTTTGATTTCCCTAGAGTTTGCAGTGAGTATTTACAACTAATCTAAGTCCACTTTAAATAACACTATTTTACTAAATAAAAATTCCCATGAGTTTAGGAGACAAAGTCATGCTAAAAGGAAGGGAACTGCCTCAAATACCCAGCCAACCCTCTTCCCCATTTAAGTTTGTAGATGGTAGAAGGATAAAGAAGTAAATTCAAATCTCCCCAAAAGCACACCTGAATTTCCTATAGGCTTTCATAGTTGAGGGGATAGAGACTTGCCAGGACCACCTCTGAGAAATAGGGATAAACTAGAAGTGGACAAACCAGATATGGATTACTAAAATTGCAATCCAGTTTTGACCCACTTCCAATTTCTGATTGGATTGACTTGATCATCCTCTCACCCTAACTGACTAAAAGAGGAAAGAGAAAAATATCCACAAAGCTGTACCCTTAAGATTTGCCTACTTTAGTGGAAATAAAAGTGTATATATAATGAATTTTGCTTAAAAATTATATACAGTTGACCCTTGAACAACACTGGGATAGAGGCACTGACACCCACCCCCCATGCTGTCGAAAATCCATGTGTAACTTGTGACTCTCCAAAAAGTCAGCTACAGATAACATACTGTTGACCAGAAGCCTTACTAATAACATAGTCAATTAACACATATTTTATATGTTATATATATTACATACTGTATTCTTACATTAAAGTAAGCTAAAGTAACATGTTAAGAAAATCAAAAGGAGGAGAAATTACTTTTACAGTACTGTACTACAAAAAAATATTAGTTGACCTGCACACTTCAAACCCATGTTGTTCAAGTGTCACCTGTATAAATTTTATGAATTTTATAGATATAAGTTTTAGATCCTGTCATAAAACATATTTTTTTTCATGTTTGAACTGTGACCCTATATATGTATGCATGTATATATATACACTCTTTAGTCAGGAGAAAATTGTGTAAAACTCCATGTGGTCTTTCAGGCTTTACAGACTGAATGACTTAGGATAACATGTATTTTCTCATCTAACTTAATATTATCAGGAGGTAAGATTGAACTATCTTCTGACTGAGAACCCAAAATTGTTTTCTCTACTTTGAATTTGGTGCAGGGCACTAAAATTTAGAAGACCAATTATAGACAAGTCTTACAAAATTTAAACATGTATTTTTGACTTAACAAAAGCTAGTTAGGAAAGGTCATCTGGTGTTAAACTCAAATCAGCCAATCATAATTTTTTCTCTGAATTTACCTGTAAAATAATATTCAATAATATTAATTAAATTTATTAAATTTAATAAATTAAATAATATATTTGAGGACTTATGTAAAATTTCTGTTTTGTGAAAAACATATCAGTTGGTTTTTATACTTATATGTTGCATAGAATGTAAACATAGTTTAGTATCATTTTTCCAGTTATCATGAAAACTGTTTTACTTATTGGATGCCCATAAGAAATTAAATCTTAAAATATTTTTTAATTTAAAAATAATTATTTGAGGTTTATTTATTTGACCTATTTCATAAATAATCAATATTCAGCAACTATTTTAACGATAGAGTGAGAAGTAGTGAATTGATATCTACAGTGTTGAAGAGTAATACATTTTTTTATAGGCACAGCTTCTAGATGCTGCTGCTGGCGTTCATGTACGATTCAGATTAGGTGGTGTAAGTATGGATGAATTCTTATTTGGTAGTTTTAAAGCACATTTATGTGAAATTTAAAAGATGTAAATTTTTAAAATGTAAACCTTTTTTTGTAATTAGATTACAATGGTCCTTTGAACTTCTCCATATACAGGTTAAATTTCCACCTGATATATACTATAAAATTTTCACTCATAGACATATTGAAGATCTGTGTGCTAATAGCCCTAGAGATTATACAAAACTTCCAGCAAAATATACATCTCATATTAAAAGTGATGATCTTCAGGAAGAGGATCATAGTGGCTGGTATCGTCGTGTAGAGAACAATGGCTGGAGGCCTGTCTCTGATACAGTAAGAAAAGAAAAATATTAATAATTTTGAATCTTATATATTTAGAAACTCATTTGTCTTCTTGAAAATTAATTTTAAAATAATAAATCTTGGTGATTTAACTGATAAAAAGTGATGACATTAACTACTCAAGGGCTACTAATAATACTTCAAGATCAGAAATACATCTTTTTTTCCCCTCTACTTCTACTTTTAGTAATGAGCTTTGATCTGGGTCATCTTTAGATACTGTCTGGTACTCAGGAGTTTTTCATCTTTATAGCGAAGCAAATTTGAAAATCTTGACTCTATATTAATTAATCCTTGGACTAGAGGTGGAAATTCTTGAGAAAAATATGACATTTTCTCTTATAGAGCTTGTCACAGCAGAGACTGGTGGGAAATCATTTGGATTGTCATGGTGTTTGGAACTTTAACATGTCTTCATTAATTGAATGGAATTATTTTAAATATACATAGTTCTTAAAACATATATATGATTTAGGGACTTTCCATAGACAACCATGTTTAATGTCCTTTTTGTGGAGATAAAGGATGTTTGTAAGCTTACATTTTATAGGTTAATATAATCAGGTTCTGTATAGCTCTAGATGTCTATTTGGGCTCATGTCCTCATTCAGGTCCTCAATCTCTGGTAGGCAGATTATAGAATTGGTATATTAAGTATACTAAGTATGAAAAGTGAAAATAATTAAGGTGTGAATTCATACATTCATTCAACAAATCTTATTGCATACCAACCATATGTCAGGCATTGTAATAAATGCTAGGGATACAATGGTAGATAAAATAGTCCCTCCCCTCAAGTATCTTTCCTTTTAATTTGTGAGAGAGTCAAAAGTAAAAAGAATATTTCAGTATAGTGCAGTAAATAAGTGCTTTAAGAGGGACAAATACGTAGGGTTGCGGGGGATAGCAAACTCTCCTCCTTGTTCTTTAATGTGTATGTGGTGAAGGAGAGGGAATGAATTTGAAGTAGGAAAACAGGCAACCAGTTAGGATAGCATGTCACACAGGGAAACCACAAACTCTTGGGATGTAATGATGAGACTTTGTTCTTGAAGGGTACCTGTACTTCTTGAGATTTAGAGTCTTCAAAAGTCAACAGCACTAAGAGTAGGTAAGGTCTGGGGGGTGGGAGGGATTGGGTGGCTGGGTGATAGACATCGGGGAGGGTATGTGCTATGGTGAGCACTGTGAATTGTACAAGACTGATGAATCACGGATCTGTACTTCTGAAACAAATAATGCAATATATGTTAAGAAAAAAAAGAAGAAGAAGAAGAAGATAGCAGGAGGGGAAGAATGAAGGGGAGTAAGTCGGAGAGGGAGACGAACCATTAGAGATGATGGACTCTGAAAAACAAACTGAGGGTTCTAGAGGGGAGGGGGGTGGGGGGATGGGTTAGCCTGGTGATGGGTATTAAAGAGGGCACATTCTGTGTGGAGCACTGGGTGTTATGCACAAACAATGAATCATGGAACACTGCATCAAAAACTAATGATGTAATGTATGGTGGTTAACATAACAATAAAAAAATTATTAAAAAAAGAGTAGGTAAGGTCTGTTCTTATGAAAAACAAAAACAATACTGGAGTATGTCTATTCATTTATCCATTCAACAAATAGTTCTTAAGTACCTCAGTATACTAGTGCTTTGTTAGTCTTTCTGTGACTTGTGCCTCCAAAAGCTCAATGTGCCACTCACCCATGACATAATAAGACCTTAAAAGGGGTTTATTCGCTCCTCTATTTCTACCTTGGCATATTCCCACTGAACTCACAGAAATTCTTTTCTGTAGCCAGATAACCTCACAATCAGTATTTCAACACTTTGTATATTCATTTTTCATTTCTCAATAGTTTTGGGTGTCTACTGAAAATGTAGAGGTGGGAGAAGAAAAAGAAATCGAATTCCATTTCTCTAAACTGAAGAGAAGGCAAGATATGGAAAAGAAAAGAAAAATTAGAAAGATAGAGTGGATGAGGAAAATGTAAGTTGATGAAATAGTTAGACTTACTAAATATATACTGTTTTAAGTTATTTTTAAAAAATGCTATCACTACTAAAATAACTACATGTTATTTTAAAAAGAAAAATGTAAGATTACAGTTATGTTTTTAAAAATATATAGAAAGCAAACATTTAACAAATGCCTGCTATGTGTGAGATACTATTAATCTCTAGGATATAAATGGGGAAAGACATTTTGTCTTTGACCCCAAAGAAATTACAGTCTATTGGAATATCAGATATGAAAATAAGTATTTACCCTTATATATCAGATAACTTTTATTTGGCCCTCCAGATCCACTCTATACCCTTCTCAACCCTTCTTTCTGCCCTAAGACTCTGACCTGTATGGATTACACTAAAAGTCATTCTGGACCTGTCTAACAAATGTTAAAAGCAAGCCAAAACATCAAATTGTTTAGGGGTTTACTTCACTCCATATGCAGAACAAATTCCTCCCAAATATTTAAAGTAATACAAAAAAAAAAAAACAGTATCCCAAATTATATAAAATTCACAATGTCTACCATATAACAATCAATTACCAGGCATGCAAAGAAACAGGAAAATAGATCTCATACGAGAAGAAAAATTAAAAAATAGCAACAGGCCCACCAAAAATATCTTTTGAAAAGGAAGGCAAAAGAATAACTTTGCAGACAAATAAAAGCTGAGTTCTCTTATCATAGAAGACCAGCACTGCAAGAAATTTTTCTGGCAGAAGAAAAATGCTTCTAGGTAGAAATCTGGATCTGTATAAGGAGTGAAGAACTCCAAAAGTGGTAATTATGTAAGTAAATATAAAGGACTTTTATTCTTACTAAATCTCTTTAAAGGGTAGTTAACCAACTGTTGAAATATACACTTAAAAATAGGTAAGACGATAAATTTTAAGTTACATGTTTTTTATTACAATTTTGAAAAGATAGTTATTAAAACTGTAAAGGAATGAGTTGATATTGCCAATCCAGTTCTACCTACATTTTTGATTCCACAATTATATTCCTTTTCTCTTATATTGAAAATCTTCATTTCAAATAAAATATAATTGCTTATTTTTCTGACACTACAAATAAATTGTTCCAAAATAACAAAATAACATCAATACGTATGCAATTACTGAATAAAATTCAAAAAAAAATTTTAAGGTAATTTACTATTTAAAGCAGAAATACTGACAGTGTATTGTGACATTTATAAACTCAAAACAGTACATCAGCATTAGTGGCATCAGCATTAGTTAATAAACCTGAGCCATTGGGTACCATCATTCATTCATTCAGTACTAATTTTTTTGAGTGCCTATTATGTTCAGGGAATATAGAGTGGAAGATTTGCAAGTTCCACAAAGGAATCCCATCTCTGTACACAATGCTTTGCAGATGGTGGACACTCGATAAGTATTTATTACATGAGTAAGTGAATGAAGCACTATAGAAAAATTGTGAAATCATACTTTCTTACAATTTGTGTTCTTACTAACCAATGTAAATCAAGAGGCATGTTCCTGCTTCTATGAAAGTAGCACTCATGAATCATTACCTATTTAAAGTTTGAAAAAGCAAAAACTTCATGAAGGCAGAGACATATCTTGTCACTGTCCTACCTCTTACCATCCAGGAATTTGTATGCCTTCTTTTGTTGAATGCTTCCTATGTGCCAGTCATAGTTCTGAATGCTTTATAAAGACTTACACTTCTAAACCTCTCAAGAATGCTGAGGAGTATTATGATTACCATTTTAAGGTAATCTGAAGCCCAGGAAGACTAGGTTATTTGGCAAAGTTTATAGAGCTAGTAAATAAATCACAGAAGCAAGACTCAAGGCCAGATAGTTGGATATCAGAGTCCTATCTCGCCCTACACGACCACCAGGCTGCTTCCTACTCTGTGTTAAGAAATGAAAACAGTTTTAGAGTATGTTAACTTTGAAAATGGAATACCATTGTAGATCTTAAAATGAAAAACCAAAGAAAAACGCCATTTTCTAATATTCTTGGTAAGGACTGCTAACCTGCCTGTACTCACTCAGCTCACGTTTGGTGGATGCATTCATTTATGTGCTCAGACTAACATGCATTCATGTGCTCAGACTAATGTTCATTTATGTGCTCAGACTAACGTTCATTTATGTGCTCAGACTAACATGCATTCATGTGCTCAGACTAATGTTCATTTATGTGCTCAGACTAACGTTCATTTATGTGCTCAGACTAACATGAGACAGAACAGTGCTGCCAAAGGAGTCCGGACTTGGAGTCCCATTCGAAGACGGGGTCTGACATCTGCTTACTACCTACCTGCTCTTGAACAATTGAACTTCCCCAGCTCTCCATTTCCTCACCCGTAAAATAGGAATAAAAACAGGTGTCACAAATGGCTGTGTCTTTTTAGAGAGAATTAAACAAGATAATGTATGAAAAGTACCTGACACAAAAAAGGATGTTACCATCTCTCTTCCCTTTGCCTCCCCCTCTCTTTCCTGTTGTGCCCGCTTCCCCCTCTTTACTTGCTGTTAGCCACATGACCTTGTCTTCCAGGACTCAGTCTCTCTCCTGCAAGACAAGAGGGCTCATCATCTGGTCTCCAAGATCCTTTGACTCTGTAATTCTATGATTTGGTGATTTAATTACTTGGTTTTTCATTGTATCATAGCAGTGCAGTATACTGAGGGGTGGTTTTGAAATGAGGCTTCACCAGTTAGCATGGTTGATTAGGTTGCTTTGTTTCTTTTTTCTTTTTCTTTTTTTTCCCCAAGAGATCCCATCACATAGAATGTGGTTTAGATGTATTTGAGATAAATCAGGTGAAAACCTGGTTTAATATGTAAGGGGTTTCACAGCAACAATATATATATTAACTGTATCTACTAGTAATGACCTGTTTCACAAGATGGTGTCTCCCTCCTTTCCCCTGTTTAGGTACTATGCAGGAAACCTACAGGCTAAGTCAACAAATCATAGAACTCTAGATTTAATTCACACAGCCACCAAGGGGCTAATGAGAGCTGTTGAAGGCGGTGGAATAGATTCTGTGATGGAATGGGAAGTGGATGAAGTGCTGAACTGGACAAATGCGCTGAACTTTGATGAGTAAATGCATTCTGCTTTTACTGGGGAGCAAGGGCAGGCCTCATGTATGTTTCTGATGTTCCCACCTCTGCCTCGAATCTTGGGCCCACAAACATAATCTTTAAAAAAGAAAAACAAAAAGCAAATGAGTATTGTTTGTCTAGAAAAAAAGAAGAAGATATGAAGGAAGAATATAAAAAAGAGATGATATAAAAGTAGAAAAAGAAAATTAGATTTAGGTATTCTTTTTTTTTTAATTGAAGTATAATTAACATACAGTGTTACATGAGTTGTAGGTCTATAAATAGTGATTGGACAATTCTGTGTGTAGCTCAGTGTTCACCATAATAAATACAGTCACCATCTGTCACCATACAACTTTACTACATATATTATCGACTGTATTCCCGATGCTGTACTTCTCTTCTCTGTGACTTATTTTATAACTGGAAGTTTGTATCTCTCATAATGTATTATTTGTTTCAGAGGTACAGGTCTGTGATTCAACAGTCTTACACAACCCACAGCACTCACCATAGCACATAGCCTCCCCAGTGTCCATCACCCAGCCACCCCATCCCTCCCACCCCCCACCACTCCAGCAACCCTTAGTTTGTTTCCTGAGATTAAGAGTCTCTTATGGTTTGTCTCCCTCTCTGGTTTCGTCTTGTTTCATTTTCCCCTCCCTTCCCCTATGATCCTCTGTCTTCTTTCTCAAATTCCTCATATCAGCGAGATCATATGATCATTGTATTTCTCTGATTGACTTATTTCGCTTAGCATAATACCCTCTAATTCCATCCACATGGTTGCAAATGGCAAGATTTCATTTTTTGATGGCTGCATAATATTCCATTATGTATATATACCACATCTTCTTTCATCTATTAATGGACATCTAGGCTCTTTCCATAGTTTGGCTGTAGGAAGTTTGTATCTCTTAATGCCCTTTATCTGTTTCACCCATCCTGCCACCCACCTCCCCTTTGACCAACATCAGTTCTCTACATTTAGGGTCTGATTCTTTTTTGTTCATTTGTTTTGTTTCTTAGAAACAAAATCTAGTTCCTAGGGTCATGAAATTCTTTGGTATTTGTCTTTCTCTATTTGACTTATTTCACCTAGCATTATACCCTCTAGCTCCATCCATATTTTCACAAATGTCGAGTTCATTTTTTATGGCTGAGTAATATTCCACTGAGTGTGTGTGTGTGTGTGTGTGTGTGTGTGTGTGTGTGTGTGTGTGTATGTATCTACCACGTCTTTTTTATCCATTCATCAGTTGATGGACACTTGGTTTGCTTCCACATCGTGGCCACTGTAAATAATGCTGCAATAAACATACATATCCTTTCGAATTAGTATATTTGTTTCTTTTGGTAAATACCCAGTAGTGGAATTACTGGATCATATGGTATTTCTATTTTTAATTTTTGAAGACCCTCCATACTGTTTTCCACAGTGGCTGCACCAGTTAAATTCCCATCAACAGTGCAGGAGGGTTTCCTTTTCTCCACATCCTCACCAATACTTACTATTTCTTGTCTTTTTTATTTTAGTTATTCTGATAGGTGTTAGGGTGATATCTCATTGTGGTTTTGATTTGCACTTCCCTGATGATGAGTGATGTTGAGCATCTTTTCATGTGTCTGTTGGCCATCTGCATGTCTTAGGAGAAATGTGTATTCATATCTTCTACCTATTTGTAACTGGATTTGTGTGTGTGTATATGTGTGTTGAGTTGTATAAGTTCTTCGTATAGTTTGGATATTAACCCCTCATTGGCTATTTCATCTGTAAATATCTCCCATTCAGTAGGTTGCCTTTTCATTTTGTTCACAGTTTACTTTGCTATGTAAAAGCTTTTTATTTTGGTATAGTCCCAATAGTTTATTTTTGGTTTTGTTCTCTCTGCCTGAGGAGACATAGCTAGAAAAATGTTACCAAGACCAATATCAAGAAACTACTGCCTACATTTTTTTCTAGGAGATTTATAGTTTTAGGTCTCACATTTAGGTCTATAATCATTTTGAGTTTATTTTTTGTGTGGTTTGAGAAAGTGGTTCAGTTTCGTTCTTTTGTATGTAGCTATCCAGTTTTCCCAGCACCATTTATTGAATAAAATGTCTTTATTATATATTCTTGCCTCCTTTGTCATAGATTAAATAACCATATAAGTATGGGTTTATTTCTGGCTCTGTACCTTATTCCATTGACCTATGAGTCTGTTTTCATGCCACTACTATACTGTTTTAATTACTATAACTTTGTAGTGTATTTTGAATTCTGGGATTGTGATACCTCCAGCTTTGTTCTTCTTTCTCAAGATTGCTTTGGCTATTTGGGGTCTTTTGTGGTTCCATTCTAATTTTAGGATTGTTTGCTCTAGTTCTGTGAAAATGCTGTTGGTATTTTGATAGGGATTACGTGAAATCTGTAGATTGCTTTGGGTAGTATGAACATTTTAACATTTAACAACCAATGTGCGAGCACAGTATATATTTCCATTTGTGTTGTGTTCAGTTTCTTTCATCAGTATCTTACAGTTTTCAGAGTATGGGCTTTTCACTTCATTGGTTAGGTTTATACCTTAGATATTTTTTTCTTTTTGGTACAATTGAACATGGGATTGTTTTCTTAATTTCCTTCTGCTACTTTGTCATTAGTGCATAGAAATGCAACAGATTTCTCTATATTAATTTTGGATTCTGCAACTTTACTAAATTCATTTATGAATTCTTTTTTTTTCTTTTTTTGTAGGCTCCTGAGCATGGAGCCCAACGTGGAGCTCAAGCTCATGACCCCTGAGATCAAGAGTCAGATGCCGAGGGGCACCTGAGTGGCCCAGTTGGTCAAACGTTTGCCTTCAGCTCAGGTCATGATCCTGGGGTCCTGGGATCGAGCCCTGGGTCAGACTCCCTGCAGGGAGCCTGCTTCTCCCTCTGCCCCTCCCCTTCACATGTGCTCATGCTAGTGTTCATGCTTGCGTGCGTTCTCTCTCTCTCTCAAATGGATAAATTAAATCTTAAAAAAAATAGATGCCTAATGGACTAAGCCACCCAGGCACCCCATTTATGAGTTCTAATAGTTTTTTGGTGTAGTCTTTCAGGTTTTCTATATATAGTATCATGTCAACTGCAAATAGTGACAGTTTTACTTCTTCCTTACCAATTTATATGCTTTTTATTTCTTGTCTGATTGCTGTGGCTAGGACTTCCAGTACTATGTTGAATAAAAGTGGTAAGAGTAGACATTCTTATCTTGTTCCTGATTTTATAAGAAAAGCAAGCTCTCAGTTTTTCACCATTGTTAGCTATGTGTTTTTCATATATAGCCTTTATTATATTGAGATATGTTCTCTCTAAACCTACTTGGTTTAGAGTTTTATCATGAACAATATTGTATTTTGTCAAATGCATTTTTACCATCTATTGAGAGGATCATATGGTTTTTCTCCTTCTTATTGTTAACATGATGTATCACGCTGATTGATATGCAAATATTGAACCACCCTTGCATCCCTGGACTAAATCACACTTGATTGTGGTGGATGATTCTTTTAATGTATTATTGACTTCAGTTTGTTAATATTTTGTTGATGATTTTTGCATCTTTGTCATCAGGTAAATTGGCCCATAGTTTGTTTTGTTTTGTTTTTCTGTGGTGTCCGACTGGTTTTGGCATTAGGCTAATGGTGTACTCATGGAATGAATTTGGAAGATTTCCTTTCTCTTCTGTTTTTTGGAACAGTTTGAAAAGAATCAGTATTCAATCTTCTTTATTTTTTTAATGTTTTAATTTAAATTCAATTTAATTAACATATACTGTATTATTAGCCTCAGAGGTACAATTTAGTGATTTGTCAGTTGCATATAACACCCAGTGCTCATTACTTCAAGTGCCCTCCTTAATGCCTATCATCCAACTACCCCATCCCCCGACCCACCTCCCCTCCAACAACCTTCAGTTTGTTTCCTGTGGTTAAGAGTCTCTTATGGTTTGTCTCCTTCTCTGTGTTCATCTTATTTTATTTTTCTTTCCCTTACCCTATGTTCACCTGTTTTCTTAAATTCCACAGATGAGTGAAATCATATGGTATTTGTCTTTCTCTGACTGACTTTTTTTTTTCTTTTTTTAAATAATTTTTTTTATTGTTATGTTAACCACCATACATTACATCATTAGTTTTTGATGTAGTGTTCCATGATTCATTGTTTGTGCATAACACCCAGTG